GATCGCCGGAGCCCAGCAGGTCGAGGCTGCGGTGGCCGGGAGCGGCCACTGCACTCCAGTCTGGGCGACAGAGTGAGACTCCAACTCAAAAAAATAAAAAATAAAAAAATAAAAATCTCCAGCAGGACGGGTGTGGTGGCTCAGGTCTATAATCCCAGCACCTTGGGAGGCAGAGGCGAGAGGATTGCCTGAGCCCACGGGGTTAGAGGCCAGCCTGGCCAACATGGTGAGACCTTGTCTCTACAATAAATCTGAAAATTAGCTGGATGTGATAACACGTGCCTGTGGCTCCGGCTACTTGGAAGGCTGAGGCGGGAGGATCACCTGAACCCAGCAGGTTGACGCTGGGGTGGCCATGAGCATGCCACTGTATTCCAGCCTGGGAGACAAGAGTGAGACTCCAACTTAAAAAAAAAAAAGCAGCTTATCATCAGCTGTGCTTCTTATCCAGCAATTACGCCAAGTTTTTGCTGAAAATTAACCAGAATTTTCCATCTTTCCTAGCATTCTGGTAATCTTTGTTCTTGTAACATAATTGTAAGGGGTTGAGTATTTAAATTTTTAACAAATGTATTGAAAGCAAACTGATGTATACCTAATCTTTAACTGTACCCCACAATACCAAAATAAAAAATATTAATTAAAAAAAAAGAAAGCAAATTTAAATTCCTCCTATGAGTCAGGTTTTTTATTTCCAGTTTTTCTAGTATGCAAATACTTTCTAGGTTAAACTTTCACCTAAAATGGAAGCATTTCCCACTAGGTATCTTTAAGTATAACTCCATACACTAATTTCAAAAACCAATTTGGCATCATAGAAAAAAATTCAAGGGAATATCTTTTAAAAGAAAATACGCATAACATTTCTAGGACAGCTTGTTCATCATGTTTCCCAGACTAACCGTGACTAGCCAAGTTCCACGCCCCATCTAATGCGGATTCAACCACTTTCTGCCTGTAATTGCAGTATATGCTGAAAAAGAGACTGCATTGGCTTAACCCTCTATCTATAGTTAAAAGATCCATCTTAAGAGGGGAAATTTTTTAAAAACCCAGAAGGATCTTTGGAAGGGCAGGCCCCTTGTTGTACACAGGCTTCCCCCACTAGGTTAGTATTCTAGGAACCCATCAGTACCAGTGTACCCGCTAGCACTGTTGAGAGGCGTGTGTTGCAGAAAAAAAAGTCCCAAGTTGTGGCAAGCAGGTGACTGGTTCTTCCATGACAATGCACCTACCCAACCCACAAAGTGTTCCGTTTTTCACCAAAAATGGCATGACCCCTGTACCTCACCCTCCCTATTCTCCAGACCTCACCCCAAATGCCTTTTGTCTTCCCCAGATGAAAAAAAATCTCAAAGGGAAACGTCTTGCCAATGTGGAAGAGGTGAAACAAAAAAAGAAGCACTAAAAGGCATCAAAATCAACAAGTGCAAAAACTGTTTTGAGCAGTGTTGGAAAAGCATCTCCATGGGTGTATTGCATCAAACAAAGAATATTTTGAAGGTGACTGAAGTTTAAACATATAAAGACACACATTTTCTTAAATAAATTCTGGGTTTGAGTGCCCTCGCATAATATTCCCTTTAGAGAGCTGAGGACTCCCAGGTCACGGAGCTGGGCTGAGTTTAATGAAGTACAGGCTTAAAACCCCTAGCACTAATTAGCTACTACTTTTAAAAAGAACAACATATCTATTGCATATATTTAATATATATTATGAAGTAGATAATAAAATCTCATTTTAGAGACTTGGAAACTGAGGCTGAGTGGTGACAGTCAAAGAACGCTATGGTTTTAGGATTATGCGCAAGTAAAAACGTACATCCGCCGAGCTCGGTGGCTCAGCCTGTAATCCCGCGCCTTTGGGAGGCTGAGGTGAGTGGATTGCCTGAGCCCGCGGGTTCGAGACCCACCTGGGCAGCGAGACCTCATCTCTACAATAAATCAAAAAATCAGCCGGGCATGGTAGCGCGCGCCTGTAATTTTGGCTACTCGGAAGGCTGAGGCGGAAGGATCGCTGGAGCCCAGCAGGTTGAGGCTGCGGTGGCCGGGAGCGGCCACTGCACTCCATTCTGGGTGACAGAGTGAGACTCAAAAAAAAAACAAAACAAAAACAACATACACCCACCTATAGCACATCAGGTCAGTTTCCAGGTTTATGGCAACAAAGACTGAACTTTGTTACCTTCATTCACTATTTTCTGAAGACCAACATATGCTAAACATCATTTGAGATGACATAAGACAAAGATGAAGCCAACCACAAAAGGACAGAACAGATTGCCAGGAAACGGAGCTATGCTGGGGGGAGGGATAGTTTTGCAGCACATCACCCTGGGCCTAAGAAAATATTTCATTCCAGATAAAATAGGGAAAATCATCACAGCTGTGGCAATCTTAACAGGGATGAATAGGCGTAGACAGCAGAAATGGGAAAAGGTAAACAGCCTAATGGGAGGATCAAAGTTATCGGTAGACCAGGCTCGGTGGCTCAGCAGGTAGTCCTAGCACTTTGGGAGAACGAGACGAGTGGATTGCCTGAGCCTGCAGGTTTGAGACCAGCCAGGACAAACTTGGCAAGACCTCATCTCTACAATAAATCAAAAATTAGCCAGGCATGGTAGCACACACCTGTAGTTCCGGCTACTTGAATGGGTGAGGAGTAAGGATCCCCGGAGCACAGCAGGTTGACGCTGGGTTGGCCGTGAGCATGCCACTGTACCTCAGCTGGAGATATGGAGTGAGACTCTAACTTAAAAAAAAAAATGTTCTAGGTGACCTGTGGCTTATGGCAGTCTTTCTCCCACACCTGCTCATCTACTAAGGCTCAGCGCCTAAGAGCACCTGGAGAAGCTTCAGACTATCAGGTGGGCCTCCACCACCCTAACTCTGCCTCTAAAACAGCATCAGGAATGTGACAGAAGGCTCAACTCTAACAAGCCTGATCCTTACCTGCAAAATGGGAAAATACTCGTTCTGCCCCAAGATTACTGAAATTAGTCTATTTGGAGGAGTAAATTGATGTAAAACATGCTATTTGGGGTTGCCTTCCCTAAGACTATTTCTTCACCCTATACATAGCAGGGTGGTAGGTTCTGCAACCTAATTTTAAAGGTAGCAATATTTCAAAGACACTTGGCACAAAACAAATAAAATTGGAGAATCAATTTTCTTGTAAGACTGCTCTACTCTCCAGTTCCCTAGGAAAGACCTGGACAACTATAGTTGCCGAATGCTGCTCCAGGATCCTAACTTATTCACGACTGACAAACTTTTCAACTTCCTAATACTGAGGGCGGGTGAAAATAAAATCTGAAGCTGGTTGCTACAGACTTGTTGTTAAACACAAGTGAAACGATCTTTTCTAAATTGTTACTTTTTACAATACAGTTGAAAGTTAGACTTATCCAGTATTTGCCTCAGACACCACTCTGACAAGCATTCTGTACTTTGTACTTTTATTTGAATTATACAACCGAAAAGATAGGCTTCCACAACAAACTAAATTTACATCAGCGGCAACCAGGAACAGAATTTGGAATGACTGAAATTCACATCAGTGGTCACAAATCAGCTTTCATTTTACCCAAGACCTTCAATTTATGAACTAGAAATATGAATGTGCTTATTTGACTTTGGAAAGTCCATTTTAAAACCTAACATGGATTTATGTGTAGAACTTCAAAGATTCTGAGGAAACGGGGGAAAGTTGATTTAATGGGCCTGTTGGCATAGTGACTTATGACTATAATCCTAGCACTTTGGAAGGCTGAGGTGAGAGGATTGCCTGAGCCCACAGGATTGAGAGCAGCCTGAGCAACTTGGGGAGACCTCATCTCTACAATAAATCAAGAAAAACTAGCTGGGAATGATGGTGCATGCCTGTACTTCCAGCTACTCGGAAGACTGAGGTGGAAGGATCACCTGAGTCCAGTAGGTCAAGGCTGCAGTGGCCGTGAGCATGCCACTACACACCAGCCTGGGTGACAGAGTGAGACTCCGACTCAAAAAAAAGGACAATGTTCATCTACAAGGTGACAACGCTGTGGAGATGTTTCACAACAATGTAGATCTACTTAAGGCTACTCAACTGTACATTTAAAAATGAAAGCCAGCCGGGCTTGGTGGCTCAGCCTGTAATCCCACGCCTTGGGAGGCCGAGGTGAGTGGATTGCCTGAACAACTTGGTGAGACCTCATCTCTACAATAAATCAAAAAATTAGCCGGGCATGGTAGCGCACGCCTGTAGTTCCAGCTACTTGGAAGGCTGAGGCGGAAGGATCGCCGGAGCCCAGCAGGTCAAGGCTGTGGTGGCCGGGAGCGGCCACTGCACTCCAGTCTGGGCGACAGAGTGAGACTCCAACTCAAAAATAAATAAATAAATTTAAAAAAATGAAAGCCGGGCTTGGTGGCTTAGCCTGCAATCCCAGCGCTTTGGGAGGCTGAGGTGAGTGGACGGCCTGAGCCCGCGGGTTCGAGACCCGTCTGGGTAACTTGGTAAGACCTCATCTCTACAATAAATCAAAAATTAGCTGGGCGTGGTAGCAAGTGCCTGTAGTTCCAGCTACTTAGAAGGCTGAGGCGGAAGGATCGCTGGAGCCCAGCAGGTTGAGGCTGCGGTGGCCGGGAGTGGCCACTGCACTCCAGTCTACACGACAGAGAGAGACTCTAACTCAAAAAAAAAAAAGAAGATGGTAAACTTTATGTTTATCACAACAACAAAATACTCGTATGTCTTTAGGTTGCACCTTGCCAAAGTACCAACATTCAGTCATTTTTGGCAATATCATATGATTAGACTTATTGCAACATCACTGGATACAGGAACACTTTTCACAAGTGTCAAACTTCCTAGCATTTTTTCCACTCAATACCCTCCAGCCTATGTAGAAAGCTACTAGTAACACAGGCAGCTGTGCATCCTTGAATTTGGAATCTTGAAAAACATGTCTCGAACAGAATACTGTGAATATACTTTATTTAGTTATATTTGCTTACAACTGAAACTCTGGGAATTCAAAATTAACATCCTTGCCCGTGAGCTTCTTGTAGACACCAGAAAAAGTTTCTACCTACAAGGAAAAAAAAACAAAAATCACAAAACTTAACACATTCATCTCAAAACCTAATAATTTTATAAAAGTGTGCCTCATATGGCTTTTCTCAGCAACCAGATACTGAGAGGAAATAAATAGGACATGTCCCCTGAGACTGGGGACAAGCTCATTTACCACATTGTGGGACAGGATTCCACACCATGGCACCTGGGTTCTATGCTCCTTTACACCACACGGACGAAACCACCAGGGACCCCAGCGATTGCCCATGTTGGTTATGCTCTCCCAAGATCCTAATACCATCACCACCCCACCCTAGCTTACCAATACAGAGCCTTACTAAAAGTCAGACTGGAATTACTTTACTTCCATTTTAACTAATAACTCAAAAAATGTAGATAACTTAAGTGCTCAATTTTTAAAACACCTCCCAGTATTAAACCTGACACATAATCCAAAAGGGAGTGGACAAGTTGGCCACGTGCTCACATCATTTCTGTGGTGCATGAAGACACATCATGCAGAACCTGCACCCACGTGGCCGGGCCTCTCCATGATGCAAGGCCAGCCTGTACCTTGTGCTCCACATTGTTCTGCTGTGCTTTGTCCAAGTGCACCTTGATGAGCCGGCTCCCATCCAGCTTCACGCGGATTCTTTTGCCCACAATTTCGCTTGGGAAGACCAAGTCCTCAAGGATGGCGTCATGCACAGCTGTCAGAGTACGGCTTAAAGAAGAGTGACAAAGTAAGCAAGCCAGCAATGCCTGTCCCCTGGTGAACCCCAGAGGGAATCTTTGAAGGCAAAATGAAAATGGCAAATTCCTGAAATCAAATAAATAATAGTTTTCAAACAGGCAACTTACATTTCATAGTTCACACCAAAGCCTTTGCCTAACTAGAACAGGGTAGCAAGCAGCTTCTTGATTTATTTCAAAGGCCTACTCTACTTTAAATGCGATACCCTGAGGTTAAGGCTACGCATTTGCCAAGGCATTATGAGTAATTAACCCTAGGGAGCAGAGATTAGTGAGGACTTACAACATCTTTATTTTCACTTATATGATTATTCAACTAGTTTTGCTTACCACCGTTGAAAGAATCTTTCTCAAATACTGATGTGCACAGCACACTCACAATTGCCAAGATGTGGAATCAACCTAAATGCCCATTATCCTATCAGTGAAGGATCAAACGTGGTATACATACACTATGGAAACTATTTGGCCCTCAAAAAGGTCTTCTGCAGCAACTTGGATAGAACATCATCCTAAGTGAACTAACTCAGGAACAGAAAACCACATACCACATGTTCTCACTTGTAAGTGGGAGTCAGTTAACTACGGATCTGCAAAGTCATGGACACTGGAGACTCAGAAGGGGGAGGGAAGAGGCAGAGGGACAGAAAATCAGCTCCACTGGGTACAGTGTGCACAGCTGGGGGTGCTGACTATACGAACACCCAGACTTCTTCGCCACTATATAATGTAACCAAGTTACCAAAAACTAATTGTAACCCCTAAAACTACTGAAACAAAGAAAAAAAGTTAGGCACAGAAAAACAAATACCCTATGATAACAGTTTTATGTGTAATCTTAAAAAGTTGGTCTCATGGCCGGGCACAGTGGCTTATGCCTGTAATTCCAACACTTTGGGAGACTGAGGGAAGCAGACTGCCTGAGCCCATGGGTTTGAGACTAACCTGGGCAACTTGGCGAGACCTCGGCTCTACAATAAATCAAAAATTAGCCAGGTATGGTAGCATGCTCCTGTAGTTCCAGCTACTTGGAAGGCTGAAGCAGAGGAATCATCTGAGCCCAGGAGGTCGAGGCTGCGATGGTCATGAGTGTGCCACTGCACTCCACCCTAGGTGACAGAGTGAGACTCTGACTCAAAAAATAAAAAATAAAAAAGCCAGGCTTGGTGGCTCAGTCTGTAATCCTAGCACTTTGGAAGGCTGAGGCAAGTGGATTGCCTGAGCCCACAGGCTCGAGACCAGCCCCAGTAATTGGCGAGACCTTGCCTCTACAATAAATGAAAAAAAATTAGTGGGGTATAGCAATGAATGCTTATAGTTCCAGCTACTTGGAAGGATTGCTGGAGCCCAGCAGGTCAGCCCAGCAGCACACCACCACACTCCAGTCTAGGCGGTAGAGTGAGAATCCAACTCAAAAAAACCAAAAAACAAAACAAAACAAAAAAAAAAACCAACCCAAAATGGTTAAAATGGTAAATTTTGGCCAGGCACAATGGCTCAAGCCTATAATTCCAGCACTTTGGGAGGCCAAGGAGAGAGGATTGCCTGAGCTGCATATTCAAGACCCGCTGGGGCAACATGGTGAGACCTTATCTCTACAATACATCAAAAAATTAGCTGGGCCTGGTAGCGTGTGCCTGTAGTTCCGGCAACTAGGAAGGCTAACGCGGAAGGATTCCCGGAGTCTAGCAGGTCGATGCTGGGTGGCCATGAGCATGCCACTGCACTCCAGCCTGGGAAACGACAGAGACTCCAACTCCAAAAAAAACAAAGAAATGCAGAAGGACAAGATGTCCAAGGATGTCCACTGGACATGTACAGGGACACAGCCGCCTGGGTCAGATGATGGAAGAGCTCTGTGATTAGGAGCAAGCCCTGGCTGCAGCATGAAAGCAAGTTGAAAGGAGGAACTCCTTAGCTAGGCGTGGTGGCTCACACCTGTAATCCCAACATTTTGGAAGACCGAAGTGAGAGGATTGCCTAAGCCCACAAATTCAAGACCAGCCTGGGCATGGGGAGACCTTATCGCTACAATAAATGAAAAAAAAAAAAGGATTTGCCAGACGTGATGGTGCGTGCCTGCAGTTCCAGCTATGTGGAAGGCTGAGGTGGAAGGACTGTCTGCTGTCTGAGCCCAGCAGGTCGAGACAGATGTGGCTGTGAGCTTGCCACTGCATTCCAGCCTGGCTGACAGGGTGAGACTTTAATCCAAAGAAAAAAGAAATAAACAAAAAAAAGGGTAAATTTTATGTACATTTTGCCAAAATTTCAATAAGAACCTAAACATAAAAAAGTCATAATTTTTAAGTTATGTTGTTTCCAGATGTCTTGTATTCTGCTTATTTCCCTGGTGTTTTCCGTTAGTGAATATGAAATTTCTTTAAAAAAATAAAATACTAGCTGGGCTCGGTGGCTCAGCCTGTAATCCCGCGCCTTTGGGAGGCTGAGGTGAGTGGAGTGCCTCACCCCGTGGGTTCGCGACCCGCCTGGGCAACTTGATGAGACCTCATCTCTACAATAAATCAAAATGAGCTGGGTGTGGTAGCGCGCACCTGTAGTTCCAGTTACTTGGAAGGCTGAGGCGGAAGGATCACTAGAGCCCAGCAGGTCAAGGCTGCGGTGGCTGGGAGCGTGCCACTGCACTCCAGTCTGGGCGACAGAGTGAAACTCCAACTCAAAAAAAAAAAAAAAATACTGATGTGATCACCTAACTAACCTACTAAAGACCTTTAAGAGCTGTGTTGGCCACCAAGACACTACCAAAACTTCTTGTTCTCCATGATCAACTGAGGCCATGTTCCACTCCAAAGACACTGTCCTTATCACCAGCTCCAGGAAAGCTGCCCGCTACCTCACGTGGATCCCTGCCTTTCAGCCCTTTTCCAGACAAGAACTGCCAATGGAATCTTGCTTATATGAATATCACTATCAAGTTCAAAACCTACATAGCTGCTGCTCAATTAATTTCAAACTTGTAGGGTATCTACTGTGACATGAGATGTCAAGATTAAGTCAAAACACAATTCTTATTCTCTCTCTTTTTTTTTTAAAGTAAGAAAGGAGGATTTATTGAGAGGACAAAAAAAGCTCTCACAGTGGGAGGGGACGTGAAGGGGTTGCCCCCTTATTTTCAATATTTATGGAGCTGCCTTATAGTTATTTATATAAGACTATTCACTCCACAGATGACAGTAACAGACTCTACATCCCACTCATTTATACAGAGTTGATGTTTTCTAATAGCTCTCAATTGGACTGCAAAGGTCTTACTGTTCTACAGCAACAGATGGCAAAAGGTGGAAGGAAATTCACTGCCCAAAGGCTTTGCTACCTTTCAGAAAACAAATTTAGACAACTGGATTGTTCCTTGCTACTCATTAATTAAGCATACTCTTAAAATACTAGGATGACACTCAAAATATGTAAATTGGTTAATTACTTTCTCCAAAATATAAATCAGAGTAAAATCAAAGCTATTCTTATCATCATCTCTCAGATTCCAATGTTATCTAAAAGCTTTTAAAAGGTGGAGCAATGGCAATGCAACTTTAGTTATTACAAGCCAGAGACTGAGGTGCTTCAGAGGAAAAATAAAAATCAGCCAGGCTTGGGAACTCAGCCTGTAATCCCGCGCCTTTGGGAGGTTGAGGTGAGTGGATTGCTTGAGCCCGCGGGTTCAAGACCCGTCTGGGCAACTTGGCAAGACCTCATCTCTACAATAAATAAAAAATTAGCCGAGCGTGGTAGTGCGCGCCTATAATTCCAGCTACCTGGAAAGCTGAGGCGGAAGGATCGCCGGAGCCCAGCAGGTCGAGGCTGTGGTGGCTGGGAGTGGCCACTGCACTCCAGTCTGGGCAACAGAGTGAGACTCCAACTCAAAAAAAAAAAGAAAAAGAAAAAAAAAATCACTGAAAACAGCTATAGCCAAATATATACTACACACTTTTTTCCATCACTTAATCCAAATTTAATTTAATCTGAATAAGGAACATAAATCTGAACGCAGGGAACCAGATTGGAAATGTGGCAGTATCACTAAGAGCTACCACTAGAACTTAGTGTGAAGGAGAACGGAAGGCTTTACATAAATACAGACCAGGCCACTCTTGAAAAACAGTGAAGTCATTACCTTACAACAATTTGGAAAATACAGATTGAGATGAGGGATTACAGCTGCAGACTTGAGGCAGTCCTTTGGATGGGTAGAAAGCAAAGGAATGTTTTGGTACTCAATCCCTAATTCACACTCTCAGAATAGAGATTATAAAATCACCTTTTAGGGTCAATTACGATTAAAAAAACCTCTCAATTCTTATGTCATTCTGACTGCCCATGAACAAGTTCAAAGTACTAAGTCATGGAATTCAGGTTCTTTCCAGCCTCAACCGTAGTTTCGCTTCCTTCCTTCATGCTATGGTAAGATGTAGTAATACCTAGCCTACAGACAAACATGGCTATTTCCAAGTAGTTTCCAGAATAAGACTGAATTTTTAGAAAAAATTCTCAGCATTACTTTTATGAACTGCAATGAGAAAATATTCCAAGCCTCAGGTCAGTTTTCTCATCCATTCACTAAAGATAATAGAAAGTATACATGCCATATGGCCGCTGCCTATCTGGCATAGAGATAACCAAAATATTTTTTTTCTGAAACTGGACCCTAGGAAGAGTCTGCAGGAATTTAATACTTCAAGTTTGTGAATCATACTAATCAGAGACATTGTCAAAATACCAAAATACCTAGTTCAAGAAGCCAACTATCAGTATTTGAGTCCATATCAGATAAACTGCACACAATCAAGTTTATCAATTATTTTCCATCAGCATCTTTAGCTGCAGTGATAACTTTTAACCTGTGATGCTAGCAAAAGAAAAATCTACTGAATTTTTCATCTCTAATCCACAGCAAAAATTAAAAGCAAAATGACACCTAGCAGGCTTTAATCACACAGTATTGAGCTTATTTCATCACTCCTATCCTTTGCCAAAGAATTGTAGGAAGTAGTCTGATCTTGTGACACCAACTGCATAGGTGAATACATGCAAATTTTACATATAGCATGAATTACAAAACATAACACATGTAATTATAGGGAATCAATTGTTACTCATTAAAAATTCCCTTATGAGCCAGGTTCGGTGGCTCAGCCTGTAATCCCGTGCTTTGGGAGGCTGAGGTGAGTGGATTGCCTAAGACCGCGGGTTTAAGACCCGCCTGGCAACTTGGGGAGACCTCATCTCTACAATAGATCAAAAAAACTAGCCGGGTGTGGTAGCGCGCACCTATAGTTCCAGCTACTTGAAAGGCTGAGACGGAAGGATCGCCGGCGCCCAGCAGGTTGAGGCTGTGGTGGCTGGGAGCAGCCACTGCACTCCAGTCTGGGTGACAGAGTGAAGACTCTGACTCAAAAAAAAAAAAGAAGAAAACAATATATCCTTGACTAAACAATTTACTGAGAAGTCCTTCTTTTTCTGTAACGCATTCACCATAGCCTGTATTAAAATTCTATTTTTAAAAATCTCCCAAATACAGGCAGGCACAGTGGCTCACACCTGTAATTCCAGCACTTTGGGAGGCAGAGGCGAGAGGCTACCTGAGCCTAGGAGTTCAACACCAGCCTGGGCAACTTGGCAAGACCTTGTCTCTACAATACATTAAAAAATTATACAGGCGTGGTGGTGTGCCTATGGCTCCAGCTACTTGGAAGGCCTGAGCAGAAGGATCACCTAAGCCCAGCAGGTCGAGGCTGTGGTAGCCTTGAGTGTGCCACTACACTACACTTCAGCCTGGGCGACAGATTCCAACTCCAAAAAAAAATCTCCCAAATATACTTTCTCTATGTTTAGGATGACCCAGAATACTATTTCTTTTAATCCTAATCAATCTTCAAAAAACCTTTCTCAATCACCTTGAACCGCAGTACCAACCACACTAAGGCTTTCATTTAATCTGCTCTGTAAGCAACCCATTACATTTACAGAATTGTAAACACAGTACCTTTCTTACCATCTTAATAGCTAAGAAACACAGCACTGACACTTAAAAGATGTTTTAAACTGCCCATTCAGTGTACTTTATCTTTCTACCTATTGCAATCTTTTCCAACCCCAAACCAGTCTCTTTTCATTACTCCAATTACCAAGGCAGTCTAAACACAAGTAATTGTAGGAAAATTCACAAAAGAAAACATTAAACAGTAGAACATGTACCTGAGCAATAAAGACAACATGCTTCCCGCTGAACTTTTTCTCCAATTCACGTACTAGCCGGACTTGGATTTTTTGGAAAGACTTCAGTTGAGGAACGGGAACAAAGATTATGATAGCTTTCCGACCACCACCAACTTCAATTTCCTAAATTAAAAAAAAAAAAATGCACTTCTTAACTGTCATAACCTCTGTTCTTTCCACTCTAATACAATCTCCAGATACCATCACACAGGAATAGCTGACATACACGCACACAACTGCACCGTAAGAGCTCTTGTTCTTTAAACCATTTCTCGGTTCATTTTGCACTGCCAAACACACAGCCTCACAGTAACTTTCTCGTGCCTGATCAATTTGACAACTTTCAGCATGTGAACGTGTTGATGATCGTGCATTTATGTATGGTCAACATTTTTCTACAGAAACGTTTTTGCAACCAAAAATAACGACTATCTTCTGCAAAAGCCACTTCACCCAACGGTCCAAATCCACTATAAATCCTAAACTTAAAACACAGACGAAAAAAAAAATCCCAATTGACCTGTACCCTAAGATATACTGAGTTAAAACAACTGCTTCAGAAAATAAACGCTGTAGTCAATTGGAAGTAAAGAAGTGTAGCCTCCACTGCCCAATATTTAACGCAAAGGACTACTCAACCCTCTCCCACCCTCACCTTCCTCCTCATTCCAGGAAGGACAAGTGATAAGGACCGCGTCTCCGGCCGGGAGACGAATGCCGACCCCCGCCCCGCTGCCCCCGCGGGCTGAGCTTAGTCCCCCGGCAGCCCCCCGGCACCCTGCCGTGTTCGCCGCTAAGGAAGGCCGAGCGTGGTCCCAGACCGACTCGGCCCCACCCGCCGCCCGCCGCGCACGTGGCTGGCAGAGTCGCTGTGCCCGTGCCCCCAGCTCCACTCCCCGCACCCGGGCGGCGTCACCCCGAACAGCACGGCCGGCCCCGAGTCCAGGCGGAGTCGG